ATCTTCGTTCACGTGTCATGCTAAATTCCAAAACCGCTTTCACGTGCACGTACTGTCTGGGGATGGTCAATTAAAACTAATTATTAATAACTTACGTTAAAAGCACTAATCTCACATTTAACAGGATAAAAGGATAGGGACCCTCCAACCGGCCTTATTCACACGGCCGCCATATCGTTCCGAGAGACTGAAAAAAGCTTTGTTTTACCACCGTCGACCTCGCAGTGAAAAACTTGGGAGCGAGGCTAGACAGGTAAAACAAAGCTACTTTAGTCTCTCGGAACAAAATGCCCGCTATGCGGCGATAAAAGGCCCATATGCCTGGTAGCTATGCTTAAACTCTACATATGCATGTTCGCACACGTTAGCGGCAAGGTGTCATGACCTCTTATGGTATATGTATTTTCACTGTTAGAGTCATGCCACGGGTTCTGCCTGCTCTGAACGCTGGTATCCTTACAACACCCAAGGGCATTAAAGAGGATCGTATAGAAATCTCAGGGGAGTTCCTTGCCTATTTAAGCCAGCTATCCAGTGTTTTCGGCCTCTTTCACAAGGTAACGCCGTTCTTAAGGCCTTATGCCGGCACTCGCGCGATTAGACATGATGATGATGAGGATGAACGACGTACTTGACAAGGTAGATTTTCTGACCCTCCCACCTCCCCTTCGGCGACGCGTATCCCCCTCTCCGTTCCCTGTCTTACGACCCTCTGCCTTTGTAAAATCTCGCTTCCCATAACTTAGTTTCGCAAAGGTAGTAAGTGGTTGTTCTGACAGTGGAAATGGTTTACTGCTTTCATTAAAAACAACCTTTCATTTTAAATAATGAATAATAATAAATACTTAATTATCCACTCCCCTTATGGGGCTTGTCGGGGATAATGAAACAATAACTCAAATAGATCATAATGGGGAGTTTTTTAAATAGAGTTTAGCCAGTGTTTAACAAAACCGAGTTCTTAGCCATAGTGCTTTTATCTCAGCACCATTTATCGTGAAAAGGTTCGTGAAAGCATAAGTCGTAGACTAGCTAGAAAAGCACTTCTTAAAAGTACGCGCCAGAGGAAGATATCTGGAGGTCAAAAGATTGCTAAACCGCGGCGTAAGTTAGACTTCGTTTAAATAACCGACCCAATACGTTTAAGAATTCCAACTGGTAGGAGGTAAATCAGTTGGCTATTTACAAGCGTGGCCGAGGATTTGAACGCGGGACTACCATAAACAAATCCAGCTACCGGTCAGGGCCCAGTTGTTCAAACGCCGGTTAGCGCTAACCATCAGGGGTTAAATTTTAACACGGGGTTTCTTTCTCTTTTTATCAAAAGCATTCTCTCGGATAATTTTCTCTATTCTTTTAAGAGTATGCAATCATTCAATTGTAGGCAAAGAGAATTAAACTTGATTTGCTTTTTTAAACTCTCATATAGTTCAAATTTCGCACTAACCCTGGGTTATGTTAACCTTGCTTCGAACAACCCGGCACATGGTGGGACTTGAACTCGGGAATTACCGATTACAGGTCCAGCGCTCCAACCATTCGGCCACGCTGCCTCCACATTTTGCTTTAATACTCCTATTCTTTCCAACCGAGATACCTAACGAAGAATTGTGGATAAAACTCTGTTAATATTAAACTCCAACCTTTCGGCAATGCTGTCTTTAGGGGCACCCAACGTCAATTTTCGCAAAATATCTGTTGGGAAGGCGATTTCTGATCTAGAACTTTCGGATCATTTGTTGTGAAATTTCTTGCTTGCCTGCCTCTCCTAGGATTTTCGAACATCTAAACAATTGTATAATTGCCCATTTTTAACGGATTAATACCCTAAAAAGGTCACAGAGAATTTTCGGGAACCTTTTTTCTGGCTGAAATTTTCGAAAAGGTCAGTTTTCATCCCTATAATTTTTGGATCACTAAACTTTCAGCTAGAAAATCCGAAAAGATGAAAAATTTTTAGGGGATATAAAATACGTTTAACAATGCTATGTTTACGTGGTTTTGAACTATATTCTCGTTGGGTGCCCCTGTGCCTTGTCAGGGGATAAAAATTGTAAAAGCTAAGGTTTCCGCATATTTCAAATGCATTATTAGTTACTGCTGATCACCTGAAAACGAATGACTTGAAGACAAAAACCTCTGAATAATCAGAAGCTCTCTCTCAAACGAAATTTTCGTAAAAAATTCCGCATTGGAGTCTGCTTAAGCGCATGTCATCGGCTTCCCCCAGTGGTAGGACCCCGGGCTAACTAGGGGAATATCCTGATTCATGGATCGATTCACAAGTCGACCGACACTCAACCGATATGTCCACCGAGCCGCGGCCGACACCCTTTATAAGGCACAAGATCCGGATTTTCCACATTTCTTCTCCCTGTCGGCTTCTATAATTTAACCAAAGCCAAAATGATGATATTCAATTCACGAGTGCTTTTCTGGTCTTTGTTAACAATCGTGCGCTACAATTTCAGCCAGCTGCGTATCAAATATTTCTTAGTTACATGAGATGGACATCAGGGGATTTTTCATTGAGAAGCTCTTGACCCAGGAAGATTTGTCTTGCTTAGTTTCCCCACCTCTGGGGAAAATTGTCAACTTTGCTCCGTCCATTTTACTATCCCCTTGGTGGGTCCGGGGTCCTATCCCTTGGGGGGAAGCGGATGACATGTGCATTTATTTATTTCATTGCGTTAATGCCAGGATCTGGAAACCTAAAGGTCATATAAAACTACGATTGATCTCGAGAATATCAAGTTTTTAAAAACATCTACTGAGCGGTTGTTAAAGTAGGCCAAAATATTTACAAAATTGCCAACAATAGCACCTGAATGCGTCTTAATTGAATCCCTCCTCTCCACTGGCAATCGGCTAAAACTATCCCCACGATCTTCTCACAAATGTGTTTAAGAAGAATGAAATGGAAAGTACTATGAGGTGAAATTGCGTTTTAAAGGCACTTGGTTTTGTATATGTTGTGGCTCAATTTTATCCTTGGTCTAAATTTTATTTTCTTTTGTTTTTGGGTATGGTCATGTGTGATAACGAGTTTGAAACAAAAGAAAATAAAATTTAAACCAAGGATAAAATTGAACCACAACACATACATCAGGATGGTCTAATTTTGCACCGGGTTTTAACCCTAAAAACTTCATCCCAAAATATAACATCACGCTCTAATAGATTTTGTTCTCACTTCACGAAAATTGAGTCAGCGATTGGGGGAACAAGCTCCCGTGAACTATATTTTCAATAGATTGAAAAAGCCCCTCTGCACCAGTGACGGTGAAATACGGCAGCAAGTGAAATAGGAAAATGACGCCATTTAGTTGCTATGACAACTCTTATGTCAGCATAAGACTAATCATAAAAAATTGTCATCTTTATATAATACAATAGATGTGGTGATCATTTTTTTTCTAAATCTTTGTTAATGGCGACGTTGTTAATACTCAAACTTCGTGTAATGTCTGTAGTTCTCTTTTTAAGCGTGTCACTGCCTAGCCAGGTTAGATAGTGTAGCTGTAATGATAACCTTGGCAACACATGACCGAGAGATGAGTCATTAAATGGGCCATATTACTCTACTTTGCTATCTTTTTACAGCGCTAAAACGTTTCTTTGCACTAATTGAATTCGTGAATCAAATAGTGACGCGTGAAATTAAGGAATAATTCCACGAGTATACCATTTGATTACCTATTAATATCATGGGTGACGAATAACTCTCACAATCGTAGCTTTTTAACATGTTTATCAAATTGATTATCGATTGAGAACTCCACGCACTGAGAACTTTATAGCTTAACTTTTGGCTTAAGTTCAAAACTTTCAAAACTTTTTGACAACATACCAGATAGAATCCTTCTTGATGTGTTCTTTCTCGTGTGTTTAGATTTTCTAAAGCGTCTTTTAATGCCCTGACATCTTTATTTCTAATATTTGAAAACTTTGCCGCCATCTTGGCACTGAGACGTAAGGAAGTTTGCCATGGCAATTTTGTATTTTCACATGTGTGATTACAAATAAGTCTAGGATATAGCATGATTTGCAGTGATATTTGGCATAAATACCACGAGTGATATTTCGAAATTTTTACAAACGTAATTTCGCAAGCCGTTAGGCGAGCGAAGTTTGATACAATTTTGAAATACATCACGAGTGGTATTTATGCCAAATATCATGTACAAATCATGCTATTATTTGTTTATACTACTACCCGCAAGAGGTTTGTAATTTTCACATTTAGGTATTTCAAATTAAGCTGAAATACCACTGCTCTAGGCCAATAAAATTGCAGAAATTCCTCATGTAGTAGTATAAAGGCTGAAATTTGTGGCCAAAATTAAGGAGTAATTCGTTACCCATGCTATTAGCAATGGTAACAGGACTGAGTGGAGTCCAATTCGGTCTGTAAGCATACGAGTGATTAACAAAATGCGGGAGTCCGATTTGTTTAATCACCAGTATGATTACAGACCGAATTGGGCGACACAAAGTTCTGTTACCAATTAATCATAACTTTAACAAAATTTGTGATATATGAGGCTCTTTTTTAATCAAAGGACAAGAAATTCCGAGATTTTTTTTGCTAGTAGTGAAACAAAAAAAGTCATTTAAGAGCGCGCGTGATGGCGCGTACTGTCCACATGACGCGTACTGTCCTATTGAACTGTCCTATTAAGGCTGAAATCAGGGCAGTTGATAGCCAATCAGACTTAGGAATTTTGTTATAGTTACGATTATGAAAATAACCAGACCTCCAGTTTTGTTATATTGGCAAAATATTCAGGTATCAAAAATGTTTCCTGTCGTCTGTTGCTACATGGAAAAAAATTGGGCCAACTTTTTCAATTTTCAATGTTGTGCCCTTAAATATTACTCACAACTAGGGTTAGCGCTGCCTGATGAACTTTGTTGGATATCCAAGGTACCACTGAAGTAATTACTTGGCAAAAAATTGATCTAAAACAGCAATATCCTAGTGACAAATATGGCTTTAAACATATATTTCTACTCTCAGGGCAGGCCAGCTGTGATAGGTGAGGTAATAAAACCGAACAAATCGGGCTTTCACGGCAGTTACAAGGGAATGCTTCACAATCGTCTTCTGATCTGTGTTTCCTTTGAACACTGCATTAAAAAAGAAATGGTTAAGTTCAACTGTTGAAACGTATTACTGAGAGGGAATAATTTTTCGATAATTGAGACAACTGAAAGTATGGAGTAATAAAACACTTTTTTTGCAATAAATTCACTCGAAACTGTGCTAACGGTCACTTTATTACCCCAATCAATCAGATGTGTGACGGCGTGGATCAATCAATGAAGGTTCATGTAAAAAGGAAAAGGGGACGGTCCATTTCCTACATTAATGACTCGAAACTTTGCCAAGGGTTTACACTTGTCATGAATCGATGAATCAATTTGAGAAGATGTTGCCGTAAATTCTGGTCACCAGCCGTGTTTAAAATGATATCAAATTTCCATATACGGAACTGTAGTTTCCTTTAGGTTAAGCGTTTACTAATTTTACTTACAACATAAAGTTTCAATGGTTTCATGTACATGCGTGTCCATGCCACGTAAGCAATAAAATGTCACGTAATGACCGTAAAGCGTAAAGCATGACCGTATCACAGACCTCATTTCCAATTACATTTGAAAATAAATTCTGCATGCTTTAAACAATGCTGCCAAAACCTTTCAGTAACGACAATTTCAGTTGCTTGTGTGCTGCAACCCATGGGGAACAAAGCTTAAGTTGAAGCATAAATGGTTACAAGAGTAGTTACTATAGAAAGAGTATCGGGAATAAAGCTCACTCAACCAGTTAAAAGTCTCAGCCTACTTTAATGTTAATCGTTCGTAGTCTTTCTTTTGGAGATAGACCACCCCTTCATTTATTTAACAGAATAATGCGTGACACACCCCTTAATTTACCTGAGCACTTTTCTGTCCCCCGGCGGTGGACATTCCCTACATTTACTTTCGTTTTATCCTCTCTCAGTAACAGCCACCTCTCCTCAACGACAGCAGTCTTGACAAGAGCGCATCCCAGACTGGCAATTGAAGACAACTTACCCTCAGCGTTCAAAAGAGAATGAAATACAAACGGATTGTACCTGATCTGGTTCTGTTTTATTGACACATTTCATTGTGCTGCGTATCTATAGTAACATTTGAAAAACGTAGAGTATTTCAATCTGTCCCAGAAAAACTAAAATGAGCACACTTAATACCCTTACTACTCCGTAACGGCCACATGTTTTTCTCCCTAATAAGGTGGCCATCGTAGAAGTTTCGACTGTATTGTATTCATGGCTTTACTATCATCTCACCATCTCGGCATTGTTCTCTTTGCAAGTGCCCCAGGTTACTCCATCTTTTGACATCAGCAAAATGTAGCTCAGTTAACCACTCATGGTAGAGAAATGATCCTTGTGTTGCTACTGCACATACAGAATGTTCAGTACCCAGGGCAACTTGAAGATAATCGGCTCTGTTTTTTGGCCAAGTCTTCAGGCACCATGCTTTTGCACCTCTTTTTTCATCAAGTCGACCGTAATATGACAAATAGCGTGAAGTATAGCTGCCGGCATTCATTTGAGAATCTAAAATCCTGTTAGGGTTTCCCAGGCCTACGGGCTGACATTCTGTAAAAGGAAGAATATATCTTACTAACCCAAGTCGAGGCTCGTAATGTAAGCTTCGGAGTTCGCCAAAAGCGAGCCATAAATCAAAACAGAGAAAACGAGTTAAGGACCGAGGTACCCGAGGTTATATCTGGGCGCCGAATAATGATGATAAATTATCTATTTTCTGATCGACTAAAAGTTACCTCCGTCAGCTCTCTCTAATCATGTTTGTTGTAATTGCTGTTCACCTTAGCTTAAACTTTTGCGAATTCTACTCGAAAATTTGTTTTTCTCGCTTTTTGCCAACTGGACCTTCAAAACATTAAAATTGCCTATAATTGTTCAGCAAAATAAAAAAATAATACATTTAGCGGAATGTGCAGTTTTAAAATACTTCCGCCCTCAAAAAATGGCCAATCAGAGCTCAGTAAAAAATACAATTGAAAACAATGAGGCTCTAAATTTTGCCTCAGTCGACCAGGAACTGAACGGCATTCGACAAGGTAAAAAAAAAAAAAACTTTTTCGTCGGCAGCCAGTATGCAGTCAGGCCTCTACATCACTTTCTCTATGGGGTGCTGTTAGATTAGGTAGCTGTCAATCAGCTAGTTTAGTTCAAACTCACGCAAAGGAAAGTGAGCTGGAATACGATTACGATTAATAATGCTTTAACACTTTTCCTGGCGTTCGTTCCCTTCTTTCACTGAAGGTCAAAACAAAGTTGATGAGCTGTCAAAAAAGGGGTCCAGTCACAGGGCTTGCTGTCAATCAGCTAGTTCAGTTCAAACTCACGCAAAGGCACGTGAGCTGGAATATAGGATTAACAGTCGTTACTTCAGGTGCCTCTAAAAGAAATCGACTGCAGAACAGGAGCCAGTTTTTTTTGCTTTTTTCACGCCATCACTGCGAAGCGGACTTGGAGCGCGAGACACGTGCGATGCATGGAAAACAAGTTCTGCAGGCTATAAAAGAAATTAAAATATCAAATAAAGCAAGCCTGTTTCTAATTCTATTTCGATGAGTCTATTTCTTGTCCAAAGCAAACGTGAAAAATCGTACTAAAATTCGTGACAGTGTGCTAACGTGACTTAAGCGTGTGACCGCTTTCCGGTCACACGCCAAAGGTCACGAGATCTTGTGCGATGTTTATTATCCGTTGGCGAACGATTGAAGTGATGAAAGGTTTTCAAAATCGAAGTCACTAGTTTGCGGTGAATTTTCATTCCTTTTTGTCTCCCGAATGAAGTAAACTCTTGTAACTCTTGCTTCTAAAGGACCGCAGTGACGTGTTGTGACTTTATTTTGATCCACGGCCGGATTGCTCGGTCACAGTTGCTGAACAAACAGGACGTTTGTCTTTTGGCTTAAAAGTATGAATTTTGCGACTCAAAACGACGCAACTGAAGTTGGAAATAACCTTCCTCGCTGTAAAAACGTTTTACAAGCGATGGTGAGTAATTCTTTCACGAAAAACTTTTGTTTTCGTCTGGCAACCGTCCGCAAGCCGTCTAATTTGCATAAATTTTCCCTATTCAATAGCCCTCACCGCTTGCTTTGGTGTCAGGACGGTAATTTGATTTCCAGAGTTAAAACCATCCAGGCCAGTAATTTAGTACAATGGCCAAGCTACCATTTTATATTGATTTTATGATCAAGCGGCATATACCAGATGCCTTTTATAAAGTTAGCCTTCATTTTCTAGCATGTCCAACGTCACAGATATGACCTCTTTAGACTTGTCGATAATAAAAATATAAAAAACATTGTTTTACAAATTTTCTTTTAGTAATTTAAAGAGTAAGAATGAAATTATAATTGGCTGAAGTTTCAATATTAGGGAATGTTTCTTACGCGTTCACTCCTCTCTCGAAGTTGCCATTTTATGCTGCCGAGTTTAGTGCGAAAAATAGGCGTAAATCAATTTTTCAAACTTTTTCTAATTTCTCCTTTAAAACGAATCGTTTGAACCCAAAACTATTTTTCCTTAAATTAGGTCACTAAAAGAGGTGTTTTGGCAAAATAATACGAAATTCGATTTTTTGACGAGTGTCTTGCGATTCTCGACTTTCTCAGAAAATGGCTCTTAACATGGTATAACTAGCTTCATCCCACTGATCAAGACATAAATGGTCTTCAAGAAAAGGTGGGTACCATATCATTATCATACCATATAACCAGGCGGTGTGCGTCACGACCCACAAAGGTTCATGGGTAAAACTGTTACTGTGCCTCATTTCAATCGTGACACGGTCGAGTTCGCATCTCGTAAAAAGAGAGATGAATCAAACCCAGGGATCAAAACACTGCTTCCATTACGGAAGAGAACGATTTGGAGAATTTTCAAGATCTCATAGTGGCCTTAGACGCCTGCTATTGGCTTCACAAGACAATTTCAATAAGTTTATCGCGATTTCGGAGACGATCGTGCGATCTAGCCGACTTTGAGCGGCGACTATAAATTTCCTGCTTCTCATATTAAGATTTTATGTTCTGTTTGGTTTATATGTATATTTTTATCTCATAGTGAAATAGATCTGTAGTTCATACCTGGCTTTGCTTAACTAAAAAAAAATCCGTCCATCAGAAGTGTTTATATATTTGATGGACTTTATTATCAGCCAAGGAGGGGGAGCGCGAGCAAACAGCAAGGTGAGAAATCGTCTCTCATAACAGTTTTATTTTCATCGACAAGTTTATGTTATTTCGAAAACAGTGCCCATTTGAAATCCTTATGCGCAAATAGATCTTCTATCAGGCAAGGGGAAACAAGGCCGAAAGAGCCGGACAGCTACAGCACAATCGGAATTTCACCGAAGCTAAATCCGCAGAAATAAACCACGATCTTGTCTGTGCGTTCCTTGAAGTGAGCGCAGTATATCGATTTTGTTATTAATAAAGTAAAACCTAACCTCAGTTTTAAAATCCTGTATGATGTTGTCTGGATCTTCGATAATAGTTTTCTGTTTTGGTAGAGATTTATAACAATTTATTCCCTCACATAAGTTTACATAAAGATTTGCATAGACATACCACACACTGCATGCAAATTATTTTAAAGTCACGCTTTCAGTTTCCGCACTGGGTTATGAAAAATGTTTTCTTTCCAACGGTTATTACAATATTCAAACTTATTTACCTTTTCTGGTTTAAAATAGAGCAAACTCTTCCTGGATTTTCGTTACTCGCTTCACGTCGGCCTCCGCTTCGGCATGTTTTCTCAGCCCGTTTTCCCGGGAGTTGCGCCACTTGGCCGAGACGATGTCTTAATTCCAAGACACTTTCAACGGCTCATAACGGGAAAACTAACAGGGGTAGACCCGGGTAGACCCCGAAATTTGCAAAGAAGAAAGGTTGAAGTAACAAGATAGCCAAAATAATTCGATAAAACTGCTAACAGTAACCAGCAATGAATCCAAGAAGAACGGCAAAAACAACACTCAAATCATCATGGCGGCCTGCACATGACCGAGCAGTTCAAACGTGTCACAAAAGCTCAAAAAAGCAAAATATTTAAAAGTAACGCGACTGCTATCAAGATAAAGTGTTCCAACAACTTTCCACAGCGGTATAGTGTCGAAATTACCAACACAAGCTTGGAATAAAGCGAAAATTTCTCCACATATACCTCTGAAAACGGCTCCTTCCAAGCGCGAAAATCACTCTACAAATGACGCATTCTGATTGGTCGAATCTCGTGACGCACACCGCCTGCCATATAACGTAGATTCTATAATCAGTACAGAGCATGTTCATGGTGGCAGGCGAGAATTCCACGGAGGAGTTAAAAAGACAACATCAAGCCTTGAAAACTGCGTCGGTGAAATCGAGAATGGAAAGTATTGATTCCACTCTACCCTTGGATCTGTTGCGGCCAGTTAACCAATCGGGAGACAAGGGTGCGAGCTCATGGCTTATTGCAGTGCCTGTTGTCGATCAAGGCTTGGTGCTGAAAAAAAAAGAATTCAGAGACTTTCTGCGTTTGAGGTATAATATGCCCCTGTCACACTTACCAAGCAAGTGTGTTTGTGGTGAGAAGTACAGCGTCTGTCATGCCGTCATGCAAAAAGGGAGGGTTCGAGGCGCAGAGACACATTGGTGCTTGCAACCGACTTACCTCACTTATTCGTAAGGTTTGCACCAACGTTGAAGTCGAACCACAACTACAACCTCTCGATAATGAGCTATTCAACGTCAGAAGTGCGGTAACAAGCGCAGAGGCATGACTGGACTTCAAGGCAGGAGGCTTTTGGTCTCGTGTAACCAGGGAAAAACAACATCCACAAACTTCAAGGAGCAGGAGAGGGAGGAAAAGCGAAAGAACCAACAGAGGGTACAAGACGTTGAAATGGGATCTATCACTCCCCTAGTTTTTGGAACCAACGGTGGGATGGGAGCCGACTGCAACTGCTTTCTCAAACGCCTAGCCGACAAGCTCTCAGAAAAGAATGAGGAAACTTATCACATTACTATTACTTGGATTAGAACATTGCTTTCTTTTGAGATTTTAAGGTCGGTATACACATGCGTGACAGGTTCCAGGACACCCTTCCACAAAATTCCACAAGGGGATTTCATTGATGACTGCCGCTTAAACGCTATTAGTATTTTAGGATCTTTTTAATATTTTAATTTCATTTTTAATCGAAATGAGTTGTTTTTAATTGAACCAGTTTTTTTTAAAATTGAAATGACTTTTTTTTAATCGAAATGAACAGGAGCTTCTGAAATGAAATGACTTGTAAATAGGGGTTTAACTGAAAATTTTTTTTCTTCGTCAGCGAAATTGATTGTAAATAGGTTTTAATAGTCAGTTTTGTCATCAATAAAAGGTTATTATCATTGTTATTATTCAAAACTGGAATATTCCACTCTGCAAAATCTAACACTGATTTTTACAAGTAGGCAAAGAAATGGGCAACACTCATTGCGACCATGGCTGGAAGAAGACCTGGCTACCAACATGAGACGATAATCACCCCTTAGATGCACGCCTTGGTGTTTCATGTCCCCACAATGATTAGCATGCATGGATTATTGAAACGATTCAGCGGTGAAGGTATTATTATTGTGATAACCCAAGAAGTATCATGATAATATTATTTATTAATCATAACTATCATTACTATAAGTAATTGGACAGCATAGGCGTGAATAGCATCTAAATTTGCTTCATGACGTCTATCAAACCCTCTTGGATGATCTTGTGTTTGTTTGGTTTAATTAAGATCATTTAGAGAATTACAGACACGTAAGGCTATGAGAAATGGCTTGAAAATATCTTTTTCATACCCAGAATGGCTTTTGTCTAATCCAGTAGACATAAAGAATAACCAGCTGCTTGTGATCACATATTTGTTCTTACCAGGTGTGGAAGGGAAAAATGATGACTTCCGCCGATACTTCCACAGGAACATTTACAGATGGGATGCTTGTACCAGCCTACTCCTAGTAGAGTAACGCCAAGAAATCTTGTCCGAATATGAAAGGCAGCCACGCAAATACTTCAAACAAGATGATCCCCCCTGGCTCAGTGGTGGAAAGCAGGAAGTAGCAAAGAAATTCCCAAGGATTTCATTGCCTGAAACTACAGCTCAATTAAGAACCTGTCACAGATATTCAGACTGAAAATACAAAAAGAGTGTTGAATCAATCAACAGAACAACTTAAAGGGGCTGTATCACGGCAGTCTACTTCATTTTGTTCAATTTTGCCAATTACTCGCCCTCCATCGCTATGGAACTTAAAGTAAGCAAAGAAATTACATGTAAATGACAAAATCAGAGATCCGAGACAAACAAATATGTCTCCTGAGCATTACTTTTGAAGTTGCAAGCACCAGGGATCAACTTTGAAAAACTGTTAGGCTGAACAGTTTTCAAAAACCCTAATTTCAATCCGTTTCAATCTTCTTCAGTTTTGCCCATCCGTGGTATCTGTTGTTTCTGTTATGTTATTTTAACCTTCCTTTAAAGTTTTGAGCGGTTATTTTTATGTTTCTCTTAATTTAACGGACATTTTGTAATTTCCTAATTTGGCTGAATTTCGTGACACAGCTCCTTTAAAAGGCTCAAGATTGCAGATCTTGTTGAGCTTCTGACTGAAATAGTGGGCCATGAGCCAGATCTTCCTAGAAAGCCAAGAAAGCCTGACCTGCTTTCAAAACTTCTTGAAGTTGCCATTGCGAGAGGATAATAATCATATTTGTACTACCAAAGTTGCATTGATAAACTGCCCTGCTAACAATGCTTAGATCATCAATAGAAGATTACCAGCATTTTGTATAGAAAGATATTCAAAATAATTTAGTTTTATTTTTGCAAGCAAAATATAATCTACAGGGAAATGTTTTAATTAAGAAGGATATTAGCATATTTGAGGGATACAAATATGGCTGCCAGGAACAGACAGAAACATCTGTTTTTGAGTTTTCCTCAGTACAAAAGCGGGCTTTCATCGCTTGAGGAACTCATGAAGACTCCAAATTCTCAGAAAGTAGGTTAAGTTTTTAACCCAATAAGAACTTTCAGGTCTGTCAGCTAGATGCTGCGTCACACAAAAGCTTGGAATATCCAAAACAAAGAACTCTTTTGGACCAGAACTTTGTATAAATAAAGGTGTTTAGCTGCTGTAATACCTTATGACAGTAGAAACTCAGAAGAATCGATATTTCTTTAGTGTAGATTTTGGTAACCGATAATATATCACACTTTTGAACCAATTCAGGCCCCCTCCTCACCAATCCGAGCCGGCTCAAACCGCATAGCTATTATACAATTAGATTCGAAAAATCCCGCTCTGTAGCAGTTTAAAAAGAGGTTGCTTCGGTTAGCCTCCCCGCAAACGTCCTTTGCGGTTCGTTGGTCACGCATTTATTTCTCCCCCATGGACGTCTGCTCATCCTCGGAGACCCAGGGGCAGTCAGTCGAGCTGGGAGAAAAGGCGCTACGAAAGTTTTCAAGCACAGGCGAAAGAGCCCCTGGGTACCGACTCTCACCGGACCATTTCCAAACGGTCAAGTGAATGCTGGCTACTGATTGGGCACAAAAAATGCTTTGTATTATTGTGCCCAATCGGCGAACAGTTTCTAGTGTGTTCTTTTCGTGAGTTCGTACACGATGGGTATTATGTCGCCACAGTTGCCCGGTTCGTTCACAAAGCTTGTGCGTACAAGGGGAAACTTCCATTTTCTACTTTCCTAACCAGAAATGAAGGAACTACCGATGAGTCGAAAAACGTTTCGGATGCTATCAGCAGGAACAATTCATTTTGCACTAAGAAAATTCTCTTTCTGACGGATCACAATGTATCGTAAATAATAGGAAGTTTAAGATGCGGCGGCGGCGACGAGATAGTAAAAAAGCAATAGCTTGACAAGGCATAACAACAACTTTGCACGTGCATCGCGCATTTTGCACATTTCTTTGCCGTCACTGCACAACTACCGCGTGAAAATACCTAATTTCAAGTTTTGTGAAGGACGCAAACAAACAATGACAAAATTTTCTTTCTCTTTATGAACTTGGATATGGTTGATAGAAAATCAGCTCCAGAAGAGTTCGCTTGCATTTGACAAAGTAAACGAGTTGGGATAATCACGATAGAGACTGGAAAAATGTGAATTCACTTTTCATGCGACGTTTTCGTGGCTGTCAGCTGTCGTGGAATCTTAAACTCCTTAATATTTACGAAGGCATGATCGATGCAAGCGTGAATACCTGTTGTAAGCTCAAGCTCACGCCGGGTCAGCTGTCATCAAAAAGTAAACATTTTCAATCTACTTTTTCAATTTTTAACCGTTTGAGCTGAGACTTTGCATGGTAATAGAACTTTGTATTCCCAACAATCGTATGTTTTTGGATTTTTGATTTTAACGGTTTTTGGCGCAAAAATGACGTCATAAGATTGACAGCAAAATATAAGTTTCAACTTATGCCATAACAGGTTAGCAATTTTGAAAGAGTACTCAGAGACGAACTTGAATGTGAAAACATTTTTTGAAACCCTTACTTGGTTAAAAAGATATGACATTTTAAAGATCATCAAATTTCTAAAAATAGTAACAAAATGGCGGAAAATACGAAATTCACAGCTCAATAACTTTTCAACCAATTAAGCTTTACTAGTACTTTTTTCACATTTGAGCTCATCTCTGTAAGTTCTTTTAAAATTTTTAGTTTTTTACGCCATAAGTCGGAAACTACTTTTTACTGTCAATCTTATGACGTCATTTTCGCGCCAAAAACCGTTAAAATCAAAAATCCAAAAACATACGATTGTTGGGACTCCGAAGTTCTATTATTATGCAAAGTCTCAGCTCAAACGGTTAAAAATTGAAAAACTAGATTGAAAATGTTTACTTTTTGATGACAGCTGACCCGGCGTGGCTTGTATTTTTGGAAAAGCGTCTTTAGTTTTCGGGTAGACAGTGGTAGTCTTTACACTAGAGCCTAAATAAGCTAAGAAATATTTCAAGACAAGTAAATTTTAATTACTTCAAGTAAAATAAAGCTTTACTCACAACCGATTCTTTTTTACTTCAGGTTAACTTTAATAAGGCTATTTTCCCACGCAACATAATTAAAATTGATTGACATGTTTCGCCTTTCTCAAAGCTCAAGAAACCGCAAGTAACCTCAAGCTTTTAATGGTTTTCAAGTCGCTTGAAACTTTCTTGAATCGTTTCAACTTTCCGACTTCAATGAGATGCAAAGTAAAGTTACTTGAGATTTTACTTAGGTCTTCACACACGAATTTTTGGTTAAGTAAAACTTAGCAGCTTGTAAGTCTTACTTAACAGCCTAGTGTAAAGACAACCAGTATTTTGAAATAAAGTGTTTATATCAAATGAAAGTTTCCTGACTGCGTGCATTTGTTTGGTGCATGAGCCAGACAAGCCGTGATCGAGTCAATAGCTGTCGCGTCGTATACGAACTCACGAAAAGAACTCAGGAGATGCTGTTCCCCGATTGGCACAATAATACAAAGCATTTTTTGGGCCCAGTCAGGAGCCAGCATTCACTTGACCGTCTGGAAATGGTCCGGTGAGAGTCGGTACCCAGGGGCTCTTCCGCCTGAGCTTGAAAACTTTCGTCGCGCCTTTTCTCCCAGCTCGACTGACTGCCCCTGGGTCTCCCAGGATGACGTCTGCTAAAAACAGCCGACATTTACGTTCTGGATTGTTTGAATAAGCCAATATGCGGTTAGTTATTGTGTCATGATCAGCCAATCACGGGCTGTTGATATGAGTGAAACGAACCCCAAAAAGAAATAGGAGAAATGAATGCGTGACAAACGAACCCCAAAGGACGTCTGCGGGAAGGCTAAGCTTCGGTCAGCGGATTCACTGCTTTTGTGTTGACGGAAAGTCTCAGTCATGAACAGCTACATGGGGTCTTCGTATGTATAAAAATGTAAGGAGAAAAAGCCCATGATATTTCCCTTGCATAATTGTAACCCCCTGGCATTTAAAATTGGTGATAAATAACTTCTCGTTCAAGTGATACTTCGCAGTCTAAGACCCTGTTTACAGGGAGTGGGGGACCCCGGTCTAGTGGGGTAAGTTTCTTTTGTTTTGTGTCCCCCAGAGAGTGAAAACAAAAGATACCAACCCCACCAGACCGGGGTCCCTCACTCCATGTAAACAGGCCCTTAAACACAGCGCCCCAACTCAATTAAAGTGTTTAAAAATATTGTCAATGAAAAGGCTATTTTGACCTCACTGGCTTAGACAAAAAAAAAAACTTGCTTATTCGGAGAGGACTATACTCAAAATTACCGGGAGCATTTTCAAAATTCCAAACCTGAATGTCGCTGTATTTATTTCTTCGTAAACCATTGCGCCTTTAGCCAGTCTTTCTGAATTACACTTGTACACTCCAAGGCTGGTTCATTTCCTTTTACAATTAACTGTCTCATTTCTTGTATGAGAGACCTTGTCTTTAACAGCAGTGGTGATAGTTCGTCTAGATTTCCTTTATGCAATAAAAAGTCGCGATGGATTTCCTCGACTTCGCTGTTTTTAGCCAAAAAAAAACCGGCTAACATTGTGGATAGATTCATTTGCAACATACGGGTATAGCTGACGCTTTTGCCCACAATTTTTTTTGGTTTTTAAGCTTAAGAACAATAAAAAATTCCAGCGCGCAAATGCGACAGCTATACGCGCCAGCAAATCAGAAATCCACCCTATGATAAGAATCTGGATTAATGCCATTGTGCCACCTATGTGGGCATGGAATCCATGAAAACAAAAGAAAGAGTGGGCGCGATTTTCTTAAATGGGTCCCTGAAAAATCGTCATCGATGCAATAAAAGTTTAGCAGCTCGTGTTTATGCGAATTATCACAATTGCACCCTAGCCTTAAGCTACTGATACGGGTCGGCCGTAAAGTCGCGGATCCCATGATTATTTGTAGGCTCACACAGGGTGCCAAAGCATTTTGCGTCCTTTGAGCTCTCTGGTTTACACCTGTAAGTGTTAGGGGACTTGCAAGGATAATTTGCGTTTGGGCTACTCTCTTTTTTTACGAACTGCACTCTGACTCGACGTGTAAATTATTTTTACCGTATTTATTCGAATAAGCGCCCAACCTCGAATTAGCGCCCACCTCGAATAAGCGCCCATCCTAAAGGCACAAAAAGTTAATAAGCGCCCAACCTAGAATAAGCGCCACCCCACCCCACCTCTCTCCCACTCCCACTTAATTCAAATAAGCGACCAGCCCCCAAAAATTGAATAGGTACTATTAAATAAGAGACTTCCCCGAAGACGGAGTTTTCTTCAAAGTATTTTACAGGAACCTTGCTTTGTTACATCTTCGCGTTTTGTCATTACCATTTATTGTTTTGTTGCAAAATAAACATACTGCACTTGCTGAAAATGCTGAAAATTTAATAAGCGCCCAGCCTCGAATAAGCGCCCACTCTCAAGGTCCAAAAATTTAATAAGCGCCCAGGGCGGTTAATCGAATAAATACGGTACTTCATAAAATATTTTAAGGTTTTAAGCCAGCAGAATGTCGAACTGTTTCGAATTGCGCTGGAAGTTGTTTTGGTCAGTATGCAAATTACCTCGTATCCTTTCCATCAAACTGAAAAATCCTGGCTTTCTTCGTTTCATTTTACACAATTTTTAATGCAATCCTAATTCTTTTATAGCAAGGCATGTGTTCAAAAGAAGGCCTCAACTCTGCGCGAGCTCTGCTTGCATTTCCGGTTACGTACTTTTCTATAAGTAACAGATTTAAAATATAAACAAACAACTGTGTTGGATAAATCTGGCCACGGTTGTGGCAGGTTTAATAGAATCAAAGCTAACGGAATCACAACACATCGATATATGTAAACCGATTAACCTACTGAATAAAAAAAAGGCGACAAAGATCCGCCATAAACTACACAACTAAATACGAATATCAAAAAAAGAAGAAATTATAAGGAAATACCGTTAACAACTGGTAATAACCCGCAGGTAGGTGAAAGGGGAGGAGGAGGGAAAGCTCGATTTTTCTTGAGAACTGACCGAGTTGATGACGAGGGAGAGAAGGAAGAATTAGTGGGTAAATACCTCGATATACTTAACCCTGAAACCGCCTTATAACCTCATTGGCTAGATTTGCAGCACCTGGTACAGCCTGACCTAGCGAGTTATCATGTGAGTACCATGCCTTGACATAAATTACATTCTGTGTGCCATTAAATGTCTGGTTTTATTTGAATTTACGCTTTCTGAAAAAAAAAAAAAAAACTTCGAAGAAAACTTACACTTATATGCAAATTATCCTTCACCGGCAAGAAATAAAAAAAAATAAAATAAATGAATGTTAAATAAATAAAGTCGTCTAAGATTTTAACAGTTCTATTAACAAAGAAGAAACGGACAATCGCATGATTTGTACAAGTCCATCATACCTCATGTCACGCCTGAACAATTTGAGCCTCAACAGTACGAACCCCCTCTAACTTCGGCTTAACACGACCATACTCCAATCCTCCTCCAAAACCTACCAAATTTATCTGGGATAAAATATTTTAAGTGATTTCAAATTGCCTGATCTTGCGAATGATGTAACAAAATTAGACCGCAACATTACCATCTCACACTCTTCTATGCGTCCAGACAGTGTTGTCCAGATACATAGTTTCACGCCATTTATATGAAAAATCTAATTCTATACTGTCCAACCTTTTTCTCCTTAAATCATTTTTTGTGTGTGTACTCATTACGAGTAAATAATACCAATAAAACAGTACCCGTTTCATTGCAACAATACGACAAAGGCCGGCAATTTCGGCTTCAAATGATCATTTCACCGGAAGGGACTATTCCAAAAAGGTTATCTAAGTGTCGGATATTTCGGCCGTAAATTTCATAGCCAGTGGAGCAGTAGGGTGAAGTAAGTTTACTTGTTCTGTGAATTTGAAGAAATCTACCATGTCTGGTTTATTTATGTCCCATAGGGAAAAAATGTCATCTATGTAGCGTTTTCAAGCAGTTGGCTTAAAGACGGTACTGCTAAAACTTTGTGTTTCAATATATGCGGCCATGAAAATATTGGAAACGAGACTGCTGTATGTGCTCATCGCGGTACCGTGGTTTTTTACTGATAGTGCTTTCCATTGAACTGGAAATAATTTTCTTTGAGGATTAATCTAAGTATTTCTCGGACCGAAACAAGAAACGTTCAGTTTTTTCACCTTTGTCTTTTCAATGAATTTTATAAAATCGGTCGCATCTTTAAGGTGTGGCTTCTGTGATTATGATATTGCTTGTAGTAATGTACCTGTATCAACAAAAGAGGAAGTTCTTTCTGTTAGACCATCTGAAAGTGAGTCATAAATTTAAAGACGTTATTTCCTAACGGCTAGAAAAAATGCAAAATGCTCCTTTTTCTGAAAACAAATATTGATAGTGTCAGCCCATGTCACTAGTCGGTTAACATTTTTCCTGTCGGTAGTCGGTAATTTGTTACTCTTTTTGTCGGTAGTCAGTAATATTTTTCGCCCTTTGTCGCTAGTCGGTTAACCCCATTCACACCCTCTAATAATAATTAGTAGAGAAACATTGTCGAGGATTATATTTCAAGATATATTTGAGACATTATGATTTTTTCTTTTCTTTCTAACAGCTTTTTAAGTGAAGCACTGTACGGAGGTCTTTTTTATGAGTATTGAATTAAGATTTTATTTCATTATTATTATTATTATTTCTGCTGATAAACGTTCATTCGATCGCGGATTACGATAATACATTGATATACATAACACTACTTGACATTCTACTACACGACAATCTTAATAATAATCAGTAATAAGCCGACAGTGGAAACGATTTCTCTTTTTGACATGGCCTTGGTTTCTTGGTTTAGACAGACAATTCCACGATTTTTACAAGTCCGTTGTCATTTGAGTTACCTCCACTCACGCCTGAACAATTCGAGCCACTACAGTAAGAGCCCCCTCCCCCGCCTGCTTGGTTTGGGTGTGTTCCGCTACCTCCCCCAGAGTACCCCCCACCTCCTCCTGAGGCACCATTATCTTCCGATCCTCCTCCACCACCGCCAAACCCTCCTACAGCCCCAGGGGGAGGCCCTCCGTTGTTGCCACTATTCATCATTCCAGCACGTCCACCTACCCAGCCCTGAGCACGTGAGCCGCCTCTTTCACCATGTTCGGACCCGGCCCTGGAACAACCTTGGCCTGACCATCCCGCACCCACTCCCCCATGGTAACTAGCGCCTACACTGTTACACTGACCAGGACTCCCTCCAGATCCTCCTCTACGAACCTGACGAAAATCTTTTCCAACGCTACTGGTGCCGCTAGTGCCCGACTGACCATCCACCCCGTTATCCCCACTAGATGCACCCCCTCCCCCTCCGGCAGCTAACAAAAGCACGTTACGTGTTGTATAAACAAAGCTCCCTCCGCCTCCCCCGGTACCAGCATTGTCCTCTACAGACAGTCCCAGCTGAGCAGCTGTCAAGGTAGTGGACCGTCCTCCTTTTACCTCCACTGAATCTCCTCCTCTTTGTCCCACCACAATATTTAGTACAGTTCCTTTATTCAAGGTAAACGTGCCCTCTTTGTATGCGCCTTTTCCACCGTAGTAAGTTCCGGGATAACTTCCATAGTTTGTGGAGTGCGTTCCTCCTCGAGCTCCCCAGGCTCTGATTCGATAGCGAGTGGTTTTTGGCACTGTGAAAGTCTGAATGCTGCCGTAACGCCCTTGTCCATTCGTTGTAAACGACCAAGAAGCTGCTGATAATGACAATGTATTGTATTTAATAATATGGCAATTTTCCTCGTTTTGTTGAGATACAATATATGTTCCTATAGTATTTACCAATAGCAGGAAAATTAGGCTGTACTTTTCAGATTTTCAGGAATTTGCGCAGTGTATCACGTGTTTTTGTATCATACCGTGAACAGCCCTCTATGTATTCCAATTTTACTCTGTCTGGGCATTTTTTTTTTTTTATGGTTTCAGATTCAAGATAATTGTAGAGGATTTGTGAGCTCTTTTCAACTGGGTCACACTGATTGGTATCGCCGAATAGATATATCGTATTGTGATATTTGATAGATGCTTGGTATATTTTTGTCATCCATTGATTGGGAACCATGCTGTACTATACTCCTCAATGAATATTGTTTTGCCCTCAAGACCAAGAATAGTCTGCAGGCTCCTCTTGTCGCCCGCAATAATGGTCTACAAACAAATAAAATAATAAACAACGAGCGAGAGAGAAAAGTTCCCATCGCTGCCAATACAAATCGAGAAGGCCTGAGCTAATGTCGGTAAGCGTGACATTTAACATCGGCCTACCTTTAGAAACGAATGGATAGATCTTCGATAATGACATGTGATATTTGCCAGCGGATGCTTGTTTATGACAACTGTCAATTTACCTTCACATGTATTACGTATATAAATGACAGAGTATTGCCATTTTAGTGTGACATTTTATACATTGGCTCATATGTAGGGGACGGACAAACGGTAGGTCATGCCATCACCAAATTTCTCGCATCCGTAAGTTGCCATTGTTAACTATCCTTGGCGCTGTTAACACCGCGGCAAAACGTCTACGCATGCGCCAGGTTGAGCATTTCTGGTCTATTTTTCGGTCACACTTTCCAGTCAGATCAAAGTCGGCTTCATTCTGTGTGCAGCTTGCGGTTCAGTTGTTCTCAGGGGCACCCAACGAGAATATAGTTCAAAACTACTTAAACATAGCATAGTTTAAATCTATCTACCGTTTAAAAACGGTAGATACAGGCATATTTTCATCCACTAAAAATTTTTCATCTGTTCGGATTTCCTAGCTGAAAGTCTAGTGATCCGAAAATTATAGGGATCAAAACTTACCTTTTCGAAAATTTCTGCCAGAAAAAAAGGCTCCCGAGAATTCTAGGTGACCTTTTTAGGGTAAAAATCCGTGAAAATGGGCAATTATACCATTTTTCAGATGTTCGAAAATCCTAGGAGAGGCAGGCGAGCAAGAAATTTTACAACAAACGTTCCGAAAATTCTAGATCTCAAATCGTCTTCCGAACAGATATTTTCCCAGAATTAACGTTGGGTGCCCCTGTGTTTTGCTTCATGCTGCTCGTGTTTTTGACTATTTTGTGGTTATTGCAATTGCTTTTATGGATAACCAGGCACAGATCACTGAAACGATTAGTCCATTAGATTCACAAAAGGTAAGATGATAATAACTCAGTGTGTAGTTTTGGCTAGAGCGTCAGGTAAACTGATTTTCATTCACGAAAACAAAGTTTTTGACTGTTATTTTTCACTTTATAACCTGGCTGAAACTAAGACATAAAAAGCTATCATTGCAATTTGGTGTTTTGTAGTTCTAATTTTCAGTTCTTCAGTTTCTCAGTCTTCATGTCTTAAAGCCGATTCGAGCTTTATTTGGAATACGACGACACATAATCGCTTTGTAGTTTTGTTTACCAGTGAGTTTTACCGTGGTTTGAAACGGAACTCTTCTGAGTTGATTGCCGTGAAACATAAGCTTAATTATACTGTTGAGGATGGCAGCAAGTTGACAACTCTATTAATTTTTTTCATTTTCAGAATCAGAGAGCGAAAGCTGGTTCGATGGCTTTTAGAAGTCGAAATTTTCATGCCATGTATTTAGCAGCTGGAAGTTTCGTGTTTACATGAGATGCAGCCCATCCGTAAAGTCTGTAATTGTTGAAGTCTTCAACCTAAGAACAACCATGTAAAAGAATTAAATAGGCATTTTCTTGAATGAAAGTCATTTATAGGCATGTTTAGTTTCCCGGCACTGAAAACTCCGGCTGTTCGTGACTGCAGTCATCAAAGTCGAAGTTCTTATTAAATCCTGCCCATCTTTTGTTTTGAGTTCTTGTTTTCTCTGATACTAAAAAAAATTATTAAACGGACTAGAATTTTATTTCCTGGTTTTAGTGTTAATGATAATGATGACGTCTTTATTTTGGTTTCTTTCATAAGTATTGTTATTCTTTTCGTAGTTGTCGCCTTCTCCCAAATTAAGTTATGCCAAACCAGTAGCATGCAAGAAAGCCAGTAAAAACAAATTCGTCTTGTCGAGCGCTCGCGACCTGCAAACTTCAAACATCATTTTCACCGTTGGTGCAGACAGATAACCACGTGGTGCAAAAGTTTGACGCTAGAAAAATATTAAACTTTCGAATGAAGTGAAGTTTTTCGTCCCCTTTTTTTGTCTGTTTCTTCCTTTTTGCTTTTAAACTTGGTGCGACGGCAATGTTATGCTTACGCAATCGGTTTATATACTAGACCGGAAATAAAAAGCTGACCGGATGTCAAATTTTGTGCTCATGCGCATTGCGTTTTGCCGCGGTGTTGGCGCTGTGCTGCGCACGCTTCGCGCGCGCGAGCTCCGCTATAATATACTTAAATCCCAAGATTAACTGCTGCCCTCAAATCGCCCCAACCCACTTTTCAGTTAAGACGAAATAATAATTTATACTTAACATCCAGGATTTTCTTATACATGATCCAGTTGATTTATCTTACCAGGACGTATATGACAAGTTCGTCCATCTCCTATATATCCAGGTTTGCAGGTACATGTGTAGGACCCAACGGTATTGTGACATATTGCATTGACATCACAGTCATCAGAGTTACTTGAACACTCGTTTAAGTCTAAAGAGGTCATAAACACAACAGATAAAGAACTTTTAATAATGACCTTAAGATAGAATTTAAAAAGTAGTTAAGCCAGGAAATGTTCAAAACTGCACGGATGAAAGCGTCGTCATTTTTCGTGACAAATTCCAAAAAAAATTGGCGTTCAAATTAAACTAGATCTGAGTTCGATATTCGTCCCATTTTGTTTTTTTCTCTGCTTTTTGACACTAATTACTACGATCAATTTTCACAAATTACGCAGTTTGCTAATGGTTTCGAAGCGTTGAGAATTTTCAGTGTGTTTCTAAATGGCGTTCAGTGCTAAGTTTCCCTTCTTACCATCACAGGTTCGTCCGTTTCCTGTATATCCGGTTTTGCACGTGCAGGTGTATGAGCCCGCGGTATTTTGGCAAACAGCATTGACGTCGCAGTCATTTAAATCAGAAATACATTCATCAAAGTTTAAAGAATATGCGAAATAAACACCAAATTCATAAAGGTAGATAAAAATAAATGTATTTACTATAAGTGAGTGCAAAATCAACCCCCGTAAACAAATTTTATTGATGGGAAGGTATGAACATGAGCAAATCTACTAGCTAATTTAGCATAGACGACAAAAAAATTAACGTCGTACGTCGGACTGAGTGCATTCTAATAATGGCAATATAACCGTGGAGTCCAATTTGGTTTACAAATATTCGACTGATTAATGCATGTATGAAAATCGGACGAGTACTCACGGGGCCAGCGATTTGCCTAATACGAAGTAGGATAATAGACCGATATGGATGACACGAATTGAGAAAAAAAGTGATAATTTCAAGCTTTAATTCATTCAAACACAAGATCCCCCCTTGGAGATTTTTCGCCCAGACGCAACCAGGGCGGATCCAGGATTTTTTTAGGAGGGGGTGCACTCGTCTCTTGCTCTACTTCAACACCAATAAACCACATAGTTTTTTTTTGCAGAATACCAGTTGTATTAGAAAACCGCAGGTAATCTCAGGGGGGAGGAGGGTGCGCAACCCCTGCACCCTCTCCCTAGATCCGCCCCTGCGTAAAAATTAATAACCCATTCAAGAACTTTTATGCACTGTTACCATTCTCGCGCGATTACGAGTACTGATAATAGCCAATCACATCAAAGAACTTTGTTATAGAAGGGACTACGTTGGAAACAACTTTAAGTTAATCTTTTAACATCTTTAACTTATTGGCTGTTATTTCAGTGGCTCCAACTTGCAGTAAGTCAAATGGAAAAGTGTATCTAAGAAACTTATTCCAATGGGAAAACGGCCAATTTATTGCACTCCTTGAACACTGAGTGTTTTCAAGATTATTAATCGAACTGCTCTAAAATGATCACCGCTGTTGTTTTAATTTTGCTATCATATAACACACACACACACACACACACACAAAAACTTGATGTTGTCTTCACAATTTCAACCGGTGAACCAGTCAATCAAATATTTTAAATTTATAAAAGCCATGTTACCAACGCAACATCACTGAATGTGTATGCATGCATACCGGCAGGTTCTATCAACATTCTATCAATATTACCCGTATAGCAAGTGAATTTGTGGCATTTATCGCACGGTACGTCGTTCCAGGTATATCCATGCCTGGAACCTAGAGTGTGCACACAGTCTTCATTTTTCCAGTTATTTGGTTGGTTTCTAGCCCAGAACCTAAATCTGCTTGATTCTCCGTCAGACCAGACAAATAATCCTTCCACGCTCCGATCATTGAGTCCAATCCAGGATTTTTCGCCGTTGAGGCGGTGCTGGATGTAAACATTCTCGTTTTGGTTATGGACCGTCACGAGACTCGAACTCATGGTAGAACAGTTTGATACAGCGGTCAGCCATGTAGTGCACGCCTGACTTGTGATGTAGCAGTAACCGCCAAAGTAGCTCCACCCTGGCTTGCATATATCTGTAGATGAGTTATTTGAGATAATATTTCAGGCAAAATTTGCATGGGTTATGAAAATATCTCCGACAAAAAAACTAAAGTAAACTAGAAATACGTGTCTCGCAATTTATATCAATTTTCCCACTGAAATTCCTCGCTAAAAGCACTTCTTCATGATCTCCGAAACGGGGGGCAAAACAAATCGTTTTTATTCCTCGCTGCGCCATCCAAGCAGGTTCAAAGCGCAGTGCGAATTTTGACAAAGTTATAAAGCTTGGCTATTTTTAAAAGGGCTTTTGGTCCTCGCTTCAGCCAGTGTCGCTTCGCAGAGAAGAACCAAAATCCTCAAGTAGCTCTAACTTAATAATTGCTGGCCGATAATGATTGAAATTAAGGGTCTTAATTTTGGTGCAAAGGACCTTTTATATTCACCTGCGCAAAGCAAAACCTGATTTGCTGACTGTCTTTCAAAGTCAGTTTATTAATTGCCAATCACGCTTTCTTATTTGTTATGTAACTTGAAAGGGACACAGTCTTCTATGGGACCGCGCGGACCTGGACACTAGTTTTGCCAGTTTGAAAAACGTTTACCTCAACCCAAAATCAAATGTACGGAATGCGTCGGATACATCCGCTTCAATCTTGCGTAATGTTTCTATCTCTTACTGAAAACCTCTTGACGAGTAAACTGGTATTCATCTTACAACGTTTTTTTTATCACATTTTATTAAAAACAGTATCCAAAGGGACATGAAAAACGTGTAGGCATGGTGTAGGCGCCGAGCGGGAGAAATCGCCTTCGCTTACCAATAACAAGAGAAACGAATCAAAAACATTGCAGAGCAAATAATCGTTATTTATATTTGGGAAATTGATGGAGAAAGGTTTCATATATTTGGAAAATCGAACTTTTTCGACCCATGCTGGGGGTCAATACAACAGAATTTTTCTCGAAGAATTTACCTTAAAATGGAGCATTTTTATTGTTTAGTTCCCAGAGGAGAGAATTGCTTTTGTTCTTGACCACCAACATGGCCGCCGGACATCACGTGTAAACCATTATTAATGATTTAGACTTTGTGCCATTTCCCACCTCTACTTCTTCTAAAAAGTATCTGTCGATATTTGGCTTTCCCTGGACAAGTCCATTGGTGAATTCTCAATGATACATAAAAATACGAATGCTCTGATACACCTTAGTGTCTATATTACGATTTTGACTTGTAAAGTTCGACTCCACAAAGTTTTTTTTTTTTTTTTACATATTTCAAAGGATGCACTTCTCACTTGCTGTTTTACGTACTAGTCTTGTGATATGCAAATTAGCTAAGAAATGGTATCTTATGTAAATGTGCATCAGTTGACTGTGCCCCTTTAAAGTTAGCAAAGAAATAACTAATACAGGTCAAAATAACAGCTTCTCGATATGTCTTGTATATCTCCCACAGACATATAAGCAGGCACAGTGTAAAAGTAGTTGTCAAATGTTAAAAAATTAATCACCCTCAAATCCGTTGAGTATCTTTCAGAGGGTATGGATGGGGTCAACTGACAACTGACAAATACCCGAAAATTTAACTGATTACTGAAATTTGCCTTGGGTTTTTCTGTCAACCGACCAAGGACCTGATTGTCCCTTATTCTCTACAAATCGTGTTATTAAGGCCTTAAATAGCATTGTTCCACTCTTTTCATCAGAAAATGTGATCTAATGTGCGTTTTAAGGAGTAATCTTAGCAGCAACACGCTTAAGTTTTCTATTTCGTTAATGATTTTACTGTAAAACCCATGTGTGTCATGTACCATCTGTTATAAATGATCTATGATCTCAAATTTACGATTCTCTGAGAACGCGCCAGCATACGATGGCTGCTCAGAATGACGGCGTTACAAAGGCAATTGCAAGTTTTTACTGAGATAATTCAGAGACGGTTTTCTTGGTCTTCTTACGATCTACGTCCCAATGTTATACCTGCCAGCTTTTTCTGAGGTAAATGCGTGAGATTTTCACCTTGTCATGACCGAGATTTCCGGAAACGTCCCAGTGACTTCCGAGGAGTTCCGATAAATTACCGAAGACTTCCGAACGTTGCCGAAAATTAAATGTCCGCAGATGTTTCAGAAGACGTTTGAGCACTTTCGAAGCTATTTAAAAGACGACACTTTTAGCGTGCTTTGATATGATTTCGTTAGAACACAAAAAAGGACACAAAGTCATCATGTGTTAAGAACAGTTTGTCCGGATTTGTGAGTCAGGCGTGAGAAATTGTCCTTGATGGGTGAGATCGATGTCTTTAGTTCACAGGCTTAAGACTCACGCATAATGCGTATACAATATTCTGAAGGTATAATTTTGATTGGCTTAATGGTTGACAATGTTGGACTCTGGCCAGCAAAAGCGTTCGAGTGGAAGAGAGCAACACAAGACTTGAGAAAACGAGGGCCACTTGAAATGCTTGCAATAGCAAAACTGATAAAAATTAAGGTACTGTTGCATCAGTTTTCGAATTTAATGTTTTTTTTACATTATATGTGCCATTTAAGCTAAGTTTCGCATCAAAAATATAGAAATAAGTTTCATGGTTAATCATTAATAACCATTTAACTGACAACTGACAAAAAGCCTAAAATTTAACTGACAGCTGACAAATGGCCGAAATTTTAACTGACAACTGACATTTGTACTCCCCCATCCAGACCCTTCTTAAAGGGAACCTCCACTCTTACTACAGAATAAGTTTAAATCGAATAAAATTATGTTGATGAACAAATTTGTTCGAAATTTGTCCATCTTGAATAATTGTGACGTGTTACGGTTGCTCTGTTGTTCTGACGCAAAGAGCTTTTGTTTAATAACAATAGGGCAACCGTAACACTTCACAATTATTCAAGATGGCGACGCCCGCAAAATTTGAAAACAAAAATAGGCGAATCTAAAAGTTATTTCTTTCGGATACAAACGCTTACTTTAAAAATATTTTAGATTGACTTGACTGTAACAGTTATTTCCTGTGATTTAAAGTTATCTTTTCGTTGAAGTGGAGGTTCCCTTTAAAAACACTCGCGGAGAGCGAGAGTCAATCGCCCGCTGCACGTGGCTGTCTTACTTATAGCATTTCTATAGCATTTTATCTTGTCTTTTTATTTCTATAAGTTACGGCCATGCACTCTGTGCTTTCTTATTAAGTATTATTTTTCAAGATCAAACCTCCTCACCTGATAAGACCATGTATTGTATAGAGAGCGGATCATATTTAGACTCATACAATTCCTTTAGACAAACTCTTGCCCCTGTCGTGTTGATATACTGTAGAATAAAAAATAGACACGCGGTGATTACTTTAAATGAAATTACTCGATAATTAGAATCATAAAAGTAAATTTATCTACCTAAAGCTGGTTTCAGTTCCGTTTCGCAGTTTAGTTTTATATATTGGTCTACTTGAGAAAAGTTTCCCGGAGAGCATCATGTCAAGCTCTGAGATGGGACAAAGTTGTTACTATTCGCAGAGTCTCCATCGTCCAATATCGTATTATATTCTAGTTTTATTTGGCTAAACGGATGAATCACCCTGACCTGGGCTGACACAGAAAGTTAAGATATTTTTCGTCGCTTTTCTAAGGTGACCACTAAGTCTTTCGTCTCAGGAACAGGCTCTTAGAAGTCAAATGAATTAGGTGAGAGCAAACTTGTAGGTGAACTTGAATAAGACGAGTGTAAGAGAAAAGTCCAGAGGCGTTTATCTGCCAATAGGCTGAGTTTTCCGAGTTATTTGATGATATTGCCCTTATGTTAAACGTGAGAAGATTATGCGTGGTTGTGGATAGTCTTCGTTATCAGTGCCGTGAAAGCGTGTGATTGTGTGATTTCCGCTTGGTGTTGACAGGTATGAGCTGGTATGTGATCGCGTGGTTGAACTGCGGTTTCGCCAAAATATTCTGTGCCAGCCATTAATTAATATTGTTTCGTCGGTGTTTAGCTTAGCAGATTGTACCTTGGAAAAGCAACACTCGACTTAGGAAAATTGGATCTAGGTCCAGTTTCAGCAAGATCTAATGGCATTGAACCATAGGCCGGTTTATGTAGATAAGAAGGTGATAATTTGTGCACTATGTTTCATTCAGTTCGTTGTCTATTCCATGCGGAATCCTGTCGTTTATCGGACCGCGAAAAGAAAAAAAAGTAGTGTTTTTCTAACTATTTAAATTGTTATGTAAGCCGTAACCAGGCACTCATTTGCTGCAGTTTACTCAACTTCAAAATTTCTAGACTGAAATGACACCGGTTTGAAACTTCGCGAAGTCAGATTATTGAATATATGTTCTAAAATTTGCGTCATTTCAAATTTGGACTCGTTGGAATGCTTCTAGGGACTATAAAATTACTTTCAGGCGTCAGACAAACGCTTTTAATCGGCCTTTGAATTAGGTTTATCGTCTTAAATTGCCAAGTAGTAGAATGAGTTGATATTTTTGCTAACCCGGTTTTCAAAAATCCAGGTATAAATTATAATTATCATAAAAATTATCCGCGAATCGTTTGAGGCAATTTTTTTTTTTTTTTAAAAAAAAGCTTTTTAACTTTGACAATATTATACGTCGAAGAATGTCAGACCACAACAAGATAACATTTGCCATAAAATATCTTCCCAAGTCACATCTAGGGTGATGACGTCACCAGACATGTGACTTTTTTAGAATTAGGTTTTTTTGTTGCTGTGACAAGATTTCATCATTTAGACTAATTGGGTTAAAAACAAATAGCTTATCTGAGGGTTTTTGTTGCGTGGAGGATCTAAAAATAACCAGTTTACGTGCAGCATTTAAAATTTAAGGGGGTAATGAACATGAGCGAAAAAGTTGGGAGACTAGAGGGCTGTAGAGGGTCGACGTTTCATCACACAGCAGAGAAAATTTGCAGGAAAGCGATGTTCTACCCGATAATTTTTTCCATTACCAAAAGAGAGACATGACGTCATCAGTCACGTGATCAGAGAGTTTTGAATATTTTAGTTTGTTTTAAAGTACATTTTTCGTCATAAATTCGCAAGTTTTTGATTTTTTTCTCTACAAATCTTTACACTGTATTACCCCTGAGTAATTATTATTCCATTTTCATTGCAGAAGCAAACGAAAACTGAGCCAGAAGTTTAAAGGTTGCGTAAACTGACCGATATTGCAAATTAAAATCGAAAGGAGACTTACCCTTTAGACTTTTGAAGAATCCTTTTGCAACTAAACTGCTTGTTTGCCGAAATAAATGTTCAATGTTTGTTAGTAAATGAGAACTTTAAAAACTAAAAGGTTTATTCTGCGGCCATATTGTTTTTCTTCATTCCGGGCAAAGAGGTCATGTTGCAGTTCTTCTAGCCCTAAAAGCCAAATGGCTTGCTACCCTAACCTAAAACAACGGAAATAATGATGAACAATGTTATGTTAATGTTTTCCCAGACCGATGAAAGGACACCTTACGAGCAGGGAGAGTATCGTACGGTCATACGGTTCAATCGGTAGACTCTGAGGGTCTGGGTTCGAATCCCATTAAAGCCAATTTAACGAAATCTTATTATTATTATTTCTTTTTCTTAAATCTCTTTTTTACTATCTTTTTTACCTGTGCGGTGCATTTAGCTACTAACATAATGTAGTAAATTGAAAACAAACTTTACAGTAATATAAAAAATGCTGTATAGTTGTTTGCAGGCTGTTATCAAGTTGTTGTTTTATTTTCAGTAAGAACAATTAGTATTTCTCTTTGAAAATCCATTTTATTAATCGGCTTGTGCCGCGACTTACTAGAAGAATCAGCTGTAATAGTTGATTTTGCTTTCTCTTTGACATGATTCGTGTGTCACTCGACATGGATTTGTTTATTAAAAAGAGCGATCAATTTCAATAAAAGCAAATGTAATCACTTCTCACTATAGCGGACAATCTCGAACCGTGAATTCGTCGTATAATTAGGGATTTAAAAGATCCAACAACGCGACGGCAAAAAAAACGTCGCTTAAAAAGTGAATTATTCCCACCCACTCACTTTGTCAAATGTAGGCGAACCCTCCTGGGGTTGAATTCCTAGGCACCATATCCAAGTACATCCAGAGAAATAAAATTTCGTCGTTGCTTGTTTACGTCCTCCATAAAAAGCGAAATTAGGCATGTTCACGTCGTAGTCGTGCAAAAGAAATGTACAAAAAAGCGTGGTGCGCGCGCAAAGTTGTTGTTTTGCTAATAAAACCTATATTGTTTTATTGACGTTTACGTTACCGTCCGCGTCTTTGGATCTTAAAGTCCCTAATATGTGGCACCGAATAAGACGAGAAAAAGCTAACCCTTTTTGATTTTAAAATTTAAGCTCGAAGCTTTAAATAGTGTAAAATAGTTATAATTTACTTTTACCGGTATCACTTGTAATAATAATAATAATAATGATGATGTTATTATTGTAATCATATGTTGTGAAGTATTTCTTCCAACTAACGGTCAATTCCTTTCTTAGCATCTGAAGATGCTCTATACTGCCTTCGCTTAATAGGCAACCATCAGCAGTAGCATTGTCATGCTGCACAAGGCATGCATGTTCTACCTAACTGATCCTCAGGAAAAGCAAAAAACATCTCGATATTTATTTACAAATTTTTGGAATTTCACTTTCTCAGCATCATTAAAAATACTATCTCACAAATCAGGAAACTTCGAATAATCTTTGGTTTTTACCGATCAACTGAAGAACTATAGGTTGCGTAGCTGAGGAAGGGGAATTTTTGCCAGTCTCATTTGTTGCCAAATCATTACCAACCTGTTCAAAATCTGCCAGTACGGCTTGCGAAAAATTATAACGGGTTGTGAAGAAGGGTTTATCATTCTAACAGGAATAGTTGCATCACTAGAAACTTTTACGAGCTCTGCCGTTCCAAAAACTGAATAACGGTGACGTAATTCACTAGTTTCACCGTCAGTATAACTTTTGGCATTGAAGTTGAATAGGGCAGGAATAGTAAAAGAATAATTAGCAAGCTCTGACAAACTACAATTATCATCACAGTCAGGACCTAGATTATATCACCAAACCACCAGGAAATGGGAGGGGACCCTCGGGGTAGAAAAAGGTAATTGCGTTACGCACAAAATCAATACTGGAGCAATATTTTTGAAGGAAATATCTGCCCAAAAAAGCGTCATGAGTTAAATCTTTGATAACATAGGCTTCAAAAGGAAAAACATGAGGATTAATAACAAAATTCAGCGACAATTTACCAAGAGCGACAAACGGAGAGCCACTGGCTTACAGATGTTAAACAACTAGTCGCCTTAGAATCTAAGCAACAATTTGTACGACTTAGATACTACATGGGCGTAGCGACCATATATGCACGTACGCACGTGCTTACCTCAAAAATCTAAAAAAATATTTTTTATTTTATTTATTTATTGATAGATTTTTTGGCGAAAAGCGACTTTTACACATGCAGGAGTTTTCTTTTGTATTTCTGCTATTTTACGAAAAGAAAACTTTGTGAATATTGCACTATTCATTTTGATATGAGTTCAAAACCCTGTCATCACAACCACAGTAGCAAAATTACAAAGCAAAAATAAAGTGGATCGAATTCCACGAATCGCAATACAAAGAATTGACCTTTTGACCCCTTGAAGTCATTTTCTTCCTTTTCCTGAGAGGTCCAAAAAATAATTTGACCCGATTTGACGACAGCGCTAAACGCAGTCTTTCCGGTCAGAACTTACTTATGACTTCATGTTCAAGGTGTTCAGTTCAGTTGACATTTGAGTGGTAAATGAATTAAATGGCCCAGGGATTCTTTAGCAGGATAAACAAGGTCAATGAAGCGGAATCAAGTGATTTTAATAAGGGTTTCTAGCCTTCTAGAATTCTACATTTCTATGGGTAAAATAATATCAGCAGTGGAAAACTTAAAAGTACGATCTATCACATAAATTTTTTCAAAAGAATAACTTATTTCATCCCGAGTTGATCCTAAGACCTTTAGTTTGCTTAAAGATACAAAAATACAGGTTTATTAATTTTTAACCCTTTGAAACAAAAGAAATTAATTTTTAAATTTTTTTGATAACCGTAACTGAAATAAATTAACCGATAGCAGTACAAGAGCCAAAATTTTAGCCGATAACCATAAAAGCCACCACCCCATCGAGACCCTCTTAATGATGTCAAGTACGAGAAAACAAACGAAGCTTGACAGCTAAACCCACTAGACTCTACCTTAAACCAAAACAGGAACTCTGGTTTAGGTAAAAATCAAGGTCAGCCATGATCCTAAACGTGCCCATTTTAAGGACTGACACTCAAATTTAATAAATGACACTTGCGATAAAAAAAACTAATTAAAAAGGTTATAGAATTTAAAAACATTTCGATACAAATACGGATTAACCTTGATCTACAACCTAATCATAACGAAACTCTAGACACAGTGAAACGTCAAGTGCAAACATGAAATTAAAACTAAATAGGCTATAAACAGGCTATAAAGTATGATCAAGCTTTCTTGTATACCTTTTCGTGCGTACTA